CCTGATGCAACAGGCACCCGGGCAGAGCCGTGGCTCCCAGGAAGCAGATGGCACAGCGGCCACCACGTGGGGACCGGGAAAGCAGTGGCGGACAGAGCGGGGTCCCACTGCGCTCACGAGCCTTCCTGTCTGTTCCTTCTCCAGCTGAATATCCTGGTGGACACAGGGAGCAGTAATTTCGCCGTGGGAGCTGCGCCTCACCCCTTCCTCCGGAGATACTACCAGCGGCAGCTGGTAGGACGCCAGGGGGGACGCAGAGAGCGCGGACACCGCTCCTCGTGCCCATGGTGTGGCCCTGGCCCCACGCTGTCCTGTCGTGCTGGGGGTCTGCCCAGGGAAGGAGGGGCCCCTCACCCCCCCCTTAGCCCCCCCACAAGGTTCCAGAGGGTTCTGTTGTGCGTGGTGACCAAGGAGCCGTCCCGGTGCTCCCCTGACCCACGTGCGGAGAAGGGAGCTGCCTTCACCCAGTCGTGTCTCCACACGTGCGCACACTCCCACCGTCATCCGGAGTGTGGGTGCCCGCCCCGGCCTTACCCCGGCTCTTTGACGCCGTCGCAGGTCCAGCACCTACCGCGACCTGCGGAAGGGCGTGTACGTGCCCTACACCCAGGGCAAGTGGGAAGGGGAGCTGGGCACCGACCTTGTCACCATCCCCCATGGCCCCAACGTCACTGTCAGAGCCAACATCGCTGCCATCACGGAGTCGGATAAATTCTTCATCAACGGCTCCAACTGGGAAGGGATCCTGGGGCTGGCATACGCTGAGATCGCCCGGGTGAGTCCCCAGCCCCACGCCTCTCCCCTCACCTGCACTCCGGCCCTCGGGGCGTGACGTGCAGCCGTGCCGGATGCTGGAGCCCTGCTCCAACAGCACACAGAGCCACGGTCCCTGGGGAAGCGATCACCCTGACGCCCCCCTCTGCTTTTTTCCCCCCACCAGCCCGACGACAGCCTGGAGCCTTTCTTCGACTCCCTGGTGAAGCAGACCCGGGTGCCCAACATCTTCTCCCTCCAGCTTTGCGGGACAGGCTTCTCGCCCAACGAGACGGAGGCGCTGGCATCGGTGGGGGGCAGCATGGTGAGTGCTCTGCAGCCAGGCCAGGGGGTTGCCGGGGTGGTGGTGGGGGACCCGACCGGAGCTGGCAGCCCGTGGGATAACGCCTCCTCCGCCTCCGCTGCAGATCAT